TTGACTGTATGTAGTGCGCATCGAGAAAAGAAGGTGCTCTCCATTTCGCCATGTTCAATTTTTTGGTAAACTATGCCTGCTGAAAATTTGATGGCGGGGAACACATGGGACTTCAAAGGCATCGCGCAAACCTTTTTTTACGCGCTACGGCACCTTTGATCTTGGTTCATTTGCATAGCGCTGCGTGCGCGTAGCTTTTTCGAGTGATCTTCTCAATAATACCTCCATGATTATACCTTCAATTTTTAATTAATTGGTCAACGTTGAAACTATCAGGGGCCCCACATTGGAAGAAATCAATTCTGGGAGATCTGCACGGTGGCGGCACCGCCTCAGCCCCACCATGGTTGAGACTGGGAAAAGAAAATTTATGATTATGGCAAGGCTAGATGGCCGGAAATGGCACTTTGAGGCAAATGTGAATATAATTTTCTTTGTTGGTCGATTAAAAAAAAAAATTTGAAAAATTTAGAGGACTTAGACCGGCTTTCTCCCCACCCCTTGAATTCTTAACACATTAAATTATATTTTGCTACACAAAATGATACCCATCGGTGGGTCTACTGACTTTTATGAGTCAGTTGATAATAAAGTAGTGAAAACATGAAAATAATTATAAATTTGCAGGAGATGCGATGGGTTATTTCCAGGAGTACTTGCTTGGTTGCTGGAGTGCCGGATTTCTTGGAGTGCCCGTTAGTTGCATCAGACTAGGGACCCCTGCACGATATCATTTTCAGTTGTTGGCCCCAAGCTCTGGAAATCACTACCACAATCTATACAAAAGTCTCCTAATTTGATGATCCTTAAGCACCATCTTACATGCTTCTTATTTAACAATCTCTAATTTTCCTCCACTCTCCTGTTTTGTTTTTGTTTTTTTCACCTTCCTTTATTTGTGTTGGTTTTCTGTTTTTCCACTTATCTTTTCCGTGTCAACCATTCATTATGGTTTTTTTTTTCTTTTCTTTTGTCCTGAAAAGCTCATAGAGGCAAATGTTATTTGCACTACAAGTGCACAACCATTGACCATATCAACCACTGAGATTTATGTATTATTAATATTATTATTATTATTATATTATCATTATTATTAAAATGTAAAAGAGAGTCCTTCAATAAGTGGTAGTTTCAACTGTGCATGAATTTGTCAAAGGTCAGAAGAACAACTTACTCATTCATCCTTATATTAAAACACATTTACATATAACCAATGTATCCTATTTGATGTGTTTTAAATGTGCCCTTTCTAAAATCTATAGTTTCTCAACTTAACAAAATTCTTTGTGTATTTCAGAATTCTACAGTTTGGGTTCCTGGTACATCTTCATGCCTGCAAGACTAAACACAATTTTCTCACAAGAAAATTCACAACCTATTAATGAAACTTTCTTGGTGGGAAGTGCAGAGAGCCGTCAAAACCCAGTCCTTCGTTGTGCATTACAGACGTCTGAAAAGTATGATTACTTTGCAATTTATCAAGGTGGCCATTGCCTAGCAGCCAACGACTTCCATAGCTATTTTCGTCGGAATAAGGATGAATATAATCAAGAAATTGAGCTTTACACATTTAATGAAGGTAGACTTCTGACCAGATTATCGAATCTTCTTTGACAAAAAACTTTTGTATGCCCATATATGGTCATGATGTGCCTGTACATGGCATGATGTAATATGACCATATTTAGGCATGCCATTTCATGTTCATTTCAAATAAGATTTGACAGTTTGGGAAGGGCTTTACTGTAATCAATTTTAACAATCATTATAAGGTATTAAGGTTGAAACCATACTATGAAAAAATACCGTGTATACTTGTGTATTAGACGTCCCTCGTATAAGATGACCCCCGAGTTAGAGAAGATAGTTTTTGTATGCCGGCCTTATAAGATGACCCCCCTGTTTCATAGTTGGAATTCCTACTCTTTTTCTGCTTTTTATGGTCCTGATACTGCATCTAGCTGGCTAAAAATGGAGCCAAATGCAAAGCTAATCTTCCAAATAATATCATTTTATGAGTTTTTAAATGTTTATCAAAAGCTTATTTCCCAGTGTTTAAAATTGCGTTCATTCATACTAACATTTAGTAGCTTCATTGCAGTAGTGTGTTATGGACGCTCCACACGTAAATGTTAATGGATGTAGTGTAGAAAGTGCATAATACTGTACTAGGTCTCTATGCACTTTAAACAAATGTTTTAAAGAAGTTGAATAAAAGAAACAAATAAGATGAAGAAGAGACAAAGAAAAGCAACAAGGAACAACCAACAAAAGGCTAATTTGATAGATAAGAAAAGATGAGTTTTGAGTCTGGCCTTAAATAGGGAAATGGAAGGCAATTCCCGTATTTTAATGGGAAGAGAGTTCCAGAGTCTAGGAGCAGCTACCTTAAAAGAGCGTTCACCATATAACTTCAGCTTGCAAATGTGAGTAGAAAGTGTAGAAGAGCTAGAGGTGGATTGAAAGTGAACGACAGGAGGTTTGGGAGCGTAACTGAATAAGATTGGAAATATAGGAAGGGGCCTGACAATGTAGAGCTTTAAAAACAAAAAGTAATATTTTGTAGGAAATTCATTTGGTAACAGGAAGCCAGTGAAAGAGAGAGAAAAGGAGTGATATGTTGTGAAGTCCATAAAGTACACCATTGCAATAGTCCAGCCTAGATGTAATGAGGGCAAGGATAATTTTAGTGGCAGCATCTTCATTGAGAAACTGTCTGATGTTTCGAAGAAGATATGAGACATCTTGCAAGTGTTGCCAATATGATTTTCCATAGACATTACAAAGTTGAATGTCATGCCAACATTGCAAACTTTATCAGAACATGATTTAAAAAATCTAAAATGTGTATGTCAAAAGTATAAGGCCCCCTGTTTTTCGATCGTAATTTGCTATTTTAAGCCATCGTCTTATAAGCAAGTATATACAATATGTGTATTTTACTATATGTTAGCTTTCAATTGAAAGTTAAAGTGAAAAATTAGTTTTCAGAAACTAATGGAATTATATTCCATAGACTATTAAATTGGCTAGTAGTCAATTTAAGAACTTTATCAGTACTTTTGGGAATTGTGTGTTTTTATCCAATCCCAGGTAATGTGACGTGCATACAGGACTAGTTCAGACTAGGTGGATAAACCTGTTGAGTTAAGCTGGGTTTATCCACCTTCCAGTTTCAACTAGGTAACTTCTCAAGCCGGGTGTTGTTCCTATGGTAACTATGCCTGGCGTGCCACCTGGTATAACTTTTCTATGCCGGGCTTCAAAAATTGACCAATCAGCATCAGCATTTAAGTCTGCTGTGAGCGAACTTACGTCTCGTGCAATATTTTGAAAATCATTTTCTGGTTCCATATTATGAATATGAACATTTAACTTCTTTTTCTTGCTTTTGGCTAATTTAGCAAGTCTGAACATTCGGCAAAGTTAAGCTGTGCTTAACGTAAGCATGGTCTTCAGCAAGATGCGCTTTATAAAGCCAACCTTACCTACCTGTTACCTGTCAGTGTCATCTGTTCTCAGCAGTTCGATGGCCATGAATCACCATTCCTCTCTATCCTCAACTCTTCTCATATTCTCCATATTTCATCCATGTCCACTTCTTGATGTTGGTTATCCAGTTTGTTATTGGCCTTCCTCTCCTATTTTACCTTCTAATTTTTCTCTCCAAAAACTCTATCTGTATCCAATTTATTCTTTTGAAAGTACTTAATTTTTCTTCTCTTTCATGCCAGTAAAAAAAAAAACGTATTTTTATTATTAACGAATTAGCAAAACCTTATTTTTTTTCTATTGATTCATTTATCATTGGAAGTTGTTAATTCATTTTATTCTTTTAAAAGTATGCTCTTTATTGTTTAAATTTAATTTCTTCCCATATCAGACAGTATATTTCAAACTATCTCTTAACAGAAAAGTTAAATTGGTGGACACCGTGGGGTAATTGGAGTTCTTGTAGTGCCGCATGCGGAAATGGAACGCAGCAGCGATGGCGCTACTGCTTTCCGAATAGAGTTGGCAGGAAGAATTGCACCGAGACACATGATTTTGAAGAGCAAGCATGCAACACAGATGAATGCCCATGGAATTGTGAGTTTATATGCAAAAAGGCACTGGTCTCAAGCCTCCTGGAACGTTGTTGGGCGGGGTGGGGAGGGGGTCTGCTGGAAATTTGGATGGCCTCCAACAATCCTGCAAGAATCCTCCTGGGAAAATAACCCATCTCCTATAAATATTTTAAATTTGGTATGTTTTTACTACTGTAATATCAGTTGTCTCAAGGAAGTCAGTACTGATGGGTAATCACCGTGCACAGCAAAATAGAATTAAGTTAAAGTTCATTTTAAACCAGATCTCCTAGAAGGGATTTCTTTCAACTTGGGACACCTATGCAACATGAGATGGGAATTGGGAATAAAAATATGGCATGGCAACAATTCTTCTGAATCTACTTTAGTTATATTGCAGTTGAAGCAGAACAATGGGAGGGTTACCTACAGCAATTATAATACATTAGAACCCCTAGGGGACACCTTAAATAGGGGTGTCCCGAAGAAGGGGTTCTACTGATCTATTTAATTGGCTTTTTTAATAATTAATGTTCTCAGTTGCATTGGAGAGCCACTTGACAGTAATTCAGTTCACTTTTTAGCAATCCTGTCCTGCCAACTGAGTTGGTTTTTTTTTTGTGTGTTATTTTGTGTTTTTCAGTTTTATTGTACTTTCGAACAAATAAATGAAATTTAAATGTATGCAGAAAGAGTAATATTAATTCGTTATTTCTGATTGATTGTAAATACTTGGTTTTAAATATCTGGGTTTATCAAAATGGTTCCCAGATTAAAAGGTTTCAAAAACAATAAAATGGGGGGTGTGGGGGGGATCAGGGAATGCAAAAGTGCCACTTCCCGCACACCACTTCCCAGCTGCAGTAAATGTGCCTTGAGCATTTCTTTAAAATAAATATAAATGCTATACAAATTGCATTTTTATTATTAAAATGAATATTTAGTTTATAATTATGCATATACAGTAGAACCCCTGTTTTAAGACACCCTATTAAGAGGACACTCCTATTACGTTTTCAGCCACAAAATGGAGTACTGTAAAGTAAATCTCACAATAGTCAACCACTATTCAGGGAACACTTCTATTAAGGAGACACTTTCATTTCATTACATTTTATTTAGATAACAAATGGCAGTAACTGTACACCAATATATTATAAAAATTGACAATTCTTCGGCAGAGACACTAACACAAAATATTATTTACAAAGTGGTCCTTTAGAAAAAATAATGACAAAGTAACTATAACATCCTCGCAATGATTGCCTCATCAACTCCCCATATCATTTAACTATTTGCCTCTCCAACTCATTTAATACCGTGCGGAGGTAGTGCTAGTTTACATAAAAAACACTACTTATTAATATTCTACTATTATTAAGAGACATTGAGACAAAATATTAAACTGTTTAAAGACAATAGGAGATCATTAAAAAGAGCATTATAATAACAATAAAATTGGACCATGGGAACTGAACTTTTGCTGTTATTAAAATCAAATTAGATTGAAGGTGTGTCCATAAACAAAGTTTTACTGTATCTGGGGACCACCCCTCCAAAACACTTCCTCTTGTAGATTCTTGACTGCTGCGTTTAACCCCAGATTATTAAAAAAAAAAAATTAACATTGTATACTTATTTTCAACAGACACTGCTTACAAGTATTTAGGTTGCCGAAGGATCTTCTCTGACCAATCCCTATTTACTGAGAGTATGGAAGGGAAAGATGAGGTTTTGGACTTGCCGTTGGAAGAGCGTCTGGTGACTAAAGACAAATGTGCATACGTCACATGGTTGTTTAACAGGACAATATTTGCAATTACTGGGAGTCCACCAATATGTCTGAATTCTGAGAATGAAGAAGTTACATACAATATGTACCCTAATTCAACGGCTGTAAGATGTGTCCCGTACACTTTTGTTATCTATACTCTTAAGGATGGTAGGTTTATACATTTTTTAAAGTTTTTTATTAATTTCTTTAAATTTTTTTTAAAAACTTGTTTTCATTTTTCATTACACTATTGTAAATGTCTTGCAATTCAGGCATTTTTAAGGCTGCGACTCGATAGTATATAAAGAATACATTGAAAAAAAAATTATGATAACGAGGTTATTAATAAGGGTGATGTATGATAATAGTAATTAAAAGATGAATTGGATATATACACTGAATACTAAAGAGTTATTTTATAATAATAATAATAATAAAAACTTTATTTAACTACGGAAACACTTTCTAATCACCTATTTTCCAGAAAAGTCCTTTGGTGATCTTTGACCTTTTGCTTAAAATCCAAAATATTTAAGACCCAAAGTCCAAATTTTCAAAATGACAGACTTCAACAACCATTTTTTGTATCTAGTTATAGGTGTATCATCATAGATAAGGTGTATAATGCTAAACATACTAAAGCCCTGTCCAGGCTATCAAATTTTGTCAAAAGCATGCACCATGCCCAAATATGGTCATGATGACATCACACCATTATTAAATAGTGTATGTCTTTTTTTTTTTTTTTCAAATTCTCTGTTTCACCTCGCTAGCTAGTGTTATTTGGTCCAGGTTAGGAGGCACCTGATCCTAGAAAAGATCAAGATTTAAAAGATGCTAACCGGAGTAGTTAAACACAAATCTCCGGATGGCGGTGATGGTGTAACCCCATACTTCAGATTGGGTGCTAGCTTGGTGTTTATTGTTTTGTTTTGTTTTTTTCTGGATTTTTTCTTTGTTTTCTTGACTACAGTATTGTCAAGGGCATAGAGACCTCGTTTGTTTGCCCTATATAAATCCATCTATTATTATTATTATTATTATTATTATAATGTACTGTAAATTTATTAAATAATCAATTAACATTCACTTGGCAAGATCAAAGACATACTATTCCTGTTGGTGGTTGACCATGTAAAACTCTTTCAGTTTGCAATAGAGGTGTTAATAAAATTTTTTAATTTTTAATTGCACATGTCTAAGACGATCACATTTTATTTGACAAAAGCATGTGACATGCCTAATTATGGTCATCATGACATCACAACATGACCATATTTAGGCACATCATCACCATATATGGTCATAAATTTGATAGTGTGGATAAAGCTTAATATGAAGTATTGCATAACCCTAAGAATGTTGATACTTTAAAATGTTTAAAAAAACTAAACAGTGAGGTGGGAGTGGTCATAAAGGTAGAATAACCCATGACTTGTCAGTGTGCTGAATTGTGTATGTGGTCTGTGACTACCTAGCCAGCGATTATAGTAGCGTCGGGGTAACCCCTTACTCTTCCGAAAGATGCAGTAGGTTCTGGTACTGATGCAGTTCCCCTACCTAACTGGAATTGGGGACAGGAGTGTGAATGCCTTGTCACACACAGTAGCCCACTATTTGTAATTTATATTTATTATTTTCTATAATGAGAGTAAAATTTTTCTTTTACAATGGAAGATCGTTTACCAAGGTGGTGTTCTTCCATGAGACCATACATCTATCATGAAAACGTACTATAAAAAAAAGCTGCACTTTAATACAAAAATACAAACTAAAAGGAAAATAGAAAAGCTTAAAACCAAAACACGAAAGATATTTCCGAATAAATATGTTATGCATATTTTTTACATTGTATTAATGCTGATGTGATATTGCTCTAGGCACTGTTGATGCCCAATGGGGCCCTTGGCTTCCAGGTGGTTTTTGCAGTCAAACTTGTGATGGAGGATCAGTGAGAAAAATTAGGCCTTGTAATAATCCACCTGTAACTGATGGGGCAGACTGTCCTGGAAATTCGTACGTTGATATCCCCTGTGATACGCCTCCATGTCCAACGACCTTAGGTAAATATTGCCTTTACACTACAGACTTAGTGGCAGATCTATTAGTAAAAATGAGAGCTAAGTGGCTAGATAGAGTAAAAAGTTGTGTCACCCAAGTTTGAAATGCACTTTTCCACATTCTTAGTTGTCTGTTGATGATATTAAATTTTTTCAAATCAGCAGTGGCTGAGATTTATAAGGCTTGAATGTGGAAAAGTGAGTCCATGACTGGATTAAATATATGAACAGGTCCTCTTTAAATCATTTAGTAGATTATTTGGAAGAAAGTAAGCAATTATAGACATTTTTTGACAAGGTGTTTTTGATTCAACAACGTTATGTTGGTTCTAATTCTTCTTTCCAATAGGATTGTTCAAAAGTGAATCAAATTAACCTGCTGTTGACTATAGGTTCCTGCTGACCAAATGAATTAGAAGTCTATTCAATGAATTACCTTTTTCTAAAATTTAAAGTTAACAATGATGTATCACATCATTATGATAGAGTACAGGAAGAAGGTATTACTGATGCCATGAAAGTTCTTAAAAAGTAATTTGCCCTAACTAGACTTTCAAATGTTATTTGACAAAAACATGTGACATGCCTAAATATGGTCATGATGACATCACATCATGACCATATATAGGCATAAATATGAAAGTATGGACAGACTTTTAAGCTCTTCATACTTCACTATTTTTCTTTTGCAGGTCCATTAATAAGAAATCATTTTACCACAGAAAACCTGTTAACTACAGAAAACCTGTTTACCACAGAAAGTCTGAATCAGACACTCCGAGGAAGGCTTGCCTACTTAGATGTACTCATCACAGGTGTAGAGCCAACATGGAATGATGATGAACTTAAAAAATACATTAAGAATGTTACATCAGAAGCAAGCGAGATTTTAGCTTTTCATTCGGTATGTTTAATAGTACTAATTATTGATAGTTTTATTCATTCCTGATGATGACGTAATTGATGTTGAAATATTGAATCCCAACACGATGGCATGCATTTCAATACTTGGAGTATGTATTATACAGTACTTTCTAATAGTACAACATTAACAAATTTTTTTTTACAGAAGTGACAACACCATACCAGACAAAACAATCAACACTTCCATTCCAGACAAACTCTTAAACACTATTAGACAAAGTTTTAATCATGACTTGTTTTATTATTTATTATGCTGTGTAATTCCTTTATAAAACAGTTTTGTATTTGTATAACTTGAGTAAGGAACTTGATGGAAGCACTAATAGATTTGACAGCAGTTGTGTTCATGAAGTTAATGGGTGTATTTAAGGAGTTGACAGTAGTGTTAATGAAGTTGAAAGCAGCATTTAAATAGTTGACAGTAGTATTGATGTTAGTATTTTTGAAGTTGACAGTGGTGTTAATGAAGTTGATGGTAGTATTTATTGACAGTAGTATTAATGAAGTTGATAACAGCATTTAAGGAGTTGGCAGTATTGTTGATTGTAGTATTTAAGGAGTTTACAGTAGTGTTATTGAAGTTGATGGTAGCATTTATGGATAGTATTAATGAGGTGATGGTAGTCTTTGTCAATAGTGTCTATGAAGTTAATGGTAGTATATAAGGAGTTGACAGTAGTTTTAATGAAGTTGATGGTAACATGTAACAAGTTAACTATCATTTGGATTCAACAGATGGAAGATGCAGATGTGATCCATGTCATAAAGGCGATGGAGGATTTTGCTTCTAAAGTGATGGCAGTATTAGATCCTGGAACAAACTACACCATACACAAGGAAAATATTGGTGGGTGACACAATATAAAGCAAAGATATGATAGTGATAAGATCGTCCTGCGTTATAGCTGTAAATATATTATATATATGTGTGTGTGTGTGTGTGCGTGCGGTGCGTGCATGTGCGCGCGTGCGTATTTAATATATTTATATGTGTATATTATGTATATATATCTATGTATATATTCTCATTATTATCTCTATGATAATGTTCAGTAGTCTTCATTACTGGTTTCGTCATTTTTTTTAATGATCATAATCATCATAATCAACATCATGATATGAAAATTATAATTTTTCAGTGTACAATGGAATTGGGATTATTTTTTTAGTTAGTGTTAGTACTTTTATTTCATTCTAAAAAATAACCACTGCTTACTTCATTTAGACTTTTATGTTGAAGTTCATACACTGAAACCTGACATGCGTAAAGAAGGATTGCAAGCTACACCACAAGTTAAATTTCTGCCAAGTAGTTTTCAACAATTTGAATTTGATGCCACAGGTAAAAAGTTATTTCAACTTTATTTAAATGATGTATAGCAGGGCACACATTCTGCCAACGTGGTTTTATGGAGAACTGTATTTCAAAGTTTCAGTCGGCTAATCTTATGGTAGCCATTGTGTGTGCGCTGAACCGTGAAGATCTCTAGGTTTCCAGTTCAATTCCCATCGCTGCTCTTCTTGTGTTTAAGTTGAGGACTGAATTACAAGTTAGAATAGTACATCATCTTTCGGATTGACGTTTAAGCCGTTGATCTTGTGTGCAATATGGCCCGTGTGCATGTTAAAAAACGCACTACACTATTGAACAAAAAAGAAACCGTATAAAAGGTTTCTTCTGTTGGACCTGATAATTTTCATTTCTGATATATCTTGACAGTTAACCAGTACCTGGGTGTTGCTACACTTTCATATAACAACATGCAGGAATGGATTCAACCAACATCACATAAAAATGAGTAAGACAGCAATCATAAGTTCAACACACTGACCTCTACTATAATGGCGGGATTGTCCATTGGCTGGTTGGGGAACCCAAAACGTCACAAATGTGTCATCACAATGCAAAACTGTTGAACCAGCGTGACAATCACCAACAATGTGACATCGCTCATGCTTTTGTAAATTACACCCACATGTGTGTTGAATGGTTTAGAGGCTGTGAAAAAAATAATTTTGTTAAATTTAATATTAAAATGTGTTACAAGAATCGTTATTTTTAATAATAAATTAAACAAAAGCCAAAAGAAACTTGTCTAAACTGGTACCTCACTTGGGATCTTGCATTTGGGGTCAGTGGCTTCATTTTTTTTTTTCTGTACAATGATTGGCCGATGTGCAATCCAGCTATTGTAGTAGAGATCAGTGGTTCAACATGAAATCAATCTGTAGGGGGCTGTAGATAAGGAATATGGTCAAAGGTGAAGTCAAGAATATTTTTAAGGAAGCTTTTTTTAGTCCTATATATTATAATATTTTGAGGTATATTTTTAAATTGTAAGCTTATCCCACTATGATTTATCAATTACTAATGAAAGATATTGAATACAGATAAGAAACAATGTATATACTTATGAAAGGTAGCGGTTTGGTGCAGTAGGAATGATTTGGTTTCCCAACCACGAGGTCGGGGTTTCAATCCTTCGCTGTGCATTTTACTTGTGTCCTTGAGCATGGCACTTTACTTACGTTGCTACTCTTCCACCCAGGAGTATAAATTGGTACCTGGTGGGGTTGCCTGCTTCTGCGCCAATATGGCAGCAACACTTTAGCATGTGGACCCAATGACCATGGAAACAATTTCAGTGCTACGTATCTTTAGAGAAAGGCGCAGTATACATGACCAGATTAAATTGAGGGCAATAAATAAGAGATATTAATCATGATAAATTAAATATTTTTTTTATGGATGCATTTTTATTATAGCACTTTTTGTATATTTTGATGGATGAGCACTGTATTTTCAAGTGGTAAAATTAGCAGTTCTTATTTATAAACATTTCTATGTATTTCATAGGTCAGAAAATCTTACATATTCTGTAGTAAGCGAGATATTATCAGTCTCAACTTTTCCACCGATTGAAACTACCTTTGATGAAGTAGACGTCGTGTTAAAATTAAATCATCATGATAAGAAGAATGGCAAACCACTTTGCTCTTTCATCAATGAGAGGTAGGTTTTATCCTTAATTCTAGGCCTAAATTTCAATGACTCATGACTACTACGAAACACAATCCGCTTAATGTCGATCCACTTAATCTCTATTTTTTGGCTGACTCCCTCAACTTTAATTGCTTGTTGGTGTGTTGTACCGAAGCAGGATAATGTTAAATAATAGTACTGTAATTAGAGACTTGTGGGAAAGTTTGTTTCTTTTGGTAATGATATGAATGATTTAGTTTTTGGCGCACGCTAAGATGAAACAGTAAATACAAAGGACAGAAAGTAGGAGTGGTTTGGCGCAACAGTTGCAGTTCTGCTTCTGAACCTTGAGATCGGTGTTTCAATCGCTCACGGTGCATTTCGCTTGTGTCCTTAGGCAAGGCACTTTACCTGTGGTTGTTTCTCTCCACCCGTGAGTACAAGTGGGTATCTGGTAGGCTCAAACACAAATTGCGCTGATTACAGCTGCAACATTATGTATCTCTTTCCAGGGGGCTGAGTATGTGTTCCATACATGCTTGATCCAATGACCGGGGGAAATAATGTGAATTGCTTTGTTGACATTAAGTGCTACATAATTCTAACATATTATTTTTATTATTAAAAGCATAAAATACCAGATTTTTGTCTGTGAAACAATGACTGATCAGACTTATTTTTTTCCTAGTATCTCCGATTTCTGGTCACAGGTAGGCTGTCATATGTTGAACTCGAGTGACCTTTACACCTACTGCGTGTGCAACCACCTGACAGCCTTTGGGGTTCTCATGAGGGTACATAAAGTAAAGGTGAGTTGTGTGTTGGTAATTTAGGCCTAGAGGTGAGTATAGCAACAGTCAAGGTGGTTTTAATTATGATTGGTTTTCTTTAATATGTATGTTACCAAGGGTAACCCACAAAAGTTACTTATTTCCAGTGGGGTCTTTCTCATGGCAACGACAGTGACTGGTGTTATCCAGCTGACTATGTTGAGATGATAATGATTGATGATGTTGATGTTTAGAGTGATGGTGGTGATGATGATAATATAAAACTAATGATATAATATCTTTCTGCAGATTGAAGAAGTTCATGAAAGAGCATTGTCATTGATCACGTACGTGTGTTCCACCTTATCATTATTTTGCTTGCTTTCTGCGTTTGCCCTGTTCACCTTACTTAGGTGAGTATACCTCTACTTTAAGCACTGTCCAACAAAAAATGTTGTGTGCCCATATATAGTCACAATGTGATGTGATCATGACCATTTTTAAGCATATCACATGTTTTTGTAAAATAAATGTTGTAGTGTGGACAAGGTTAACCGACAAGGTTATCGACCAAATTTGTGAATGTTTCAACACCTTGTGAATGGAGTGGAGCTCTAGTACAATAGCTTTGTGGGTAAAAGCCGGGCAATCTCAGTCGTTGGTCGTCAGCCGGTGTGATTCTTTGAAGAACGCAATGTGCTGAAGTGCGTGTGCAACAGGTCTCGAGGTCTACAGTACTGGCAATCAGCAGATGTGACGTCGTGTAGAACCCAGAGGGAGCGGAGTTTGATTCATCTTGCGACAGTCGTACAAACGTCTTGTGCCCTGCTTAATATGCAAAAAAAAACAAGGTCTTGATGTGGACAACAAACGTTCAATCTGTAAAGTTCCAGGTTTTTTTTCACAATTATGAACAACTCCACTCGCAAGCCTCTATAATAAGATAGTGCTGATGCTGATTTTTTTTTTTTTATCTTACAAAAATATATCTGTCTCTTATACACATCTAGATGTGAATAAGAGACAGCCTTAGGCAAGGCACTTTACCTG